ATCTCTCAATATCCTCCGTATATGAGCTATGGATCTCTTGGTATCCCGAGGATCTCTTGGTATCCTCAATATATATGTTGGGGATCTCTTGGTATCCCGAGGATCTCTTGGTATCCTCAATATATATGTTGGGGATCTCTTGGTATCCCGAATATCTCTTGGTATCCTCAATATATGTGTTGACATCTCTTGGTATCCCGAGGATCTCTTGGTATCCTCAATATATATGATGGGGATCTCTTGGTATCCTCAATATATATGATGGGGATCTCTTGGTATCCTCAATATATGTTCTGGGATCTCTTGGTATCCTCAATATATGTGTTGGGGATCTCTTGGTATCCCGAGGATCTCTTGGTATCCTCAATATATGTGTTGGGGATCTCTTGGTATCCCGAGGATTTCTTAGTATCATCAATATAAATGTCAGGGATCTCTTGGTATCCCGAGGATCTCTTGGTATCCTCAATGTAAATGTCAGGGATCTCTTGGTATCCCGAGGATCTTTTGGTATCCTCAATATATGTGTTGGGGATCTCTTGGTATCCCGAGGATCTCTTGGTATCCTCAATATAAATGCCAGGGATCTCTTGGTATCCTCAATATATATGTTGGGGATCTCTTGGTATCCCGAGGATCTCTTAGTATCCTCAATATATGTGTTGGGGATCTCTTGGTATCCCGAGGATCTCTTGGTATCCTTAATATATATGCTGGGGATCTCCCGAAATATCGTCTCATAGTCCCAAAGTAAACACATAGCAGCAACATGAAGAATACTAAAAAACAATCCAATAACCCAATCACAAGGAATTCCACCACCAGGAGTATGAATGCACGGCAACAAGAGAACCACAGGAAAACCAAGAAGCACAATAACCTTAACAAAATAATAAGACATAACAGGCATGTGATAACTAAACCAACAACCATAACAATTTGGACACCTAGCATATATACACGGAGTCATAGAAGAATTTACAATTTAGAGATAACAAAACGATAAGAAGAACAATCGCTTCAATCAAGGCAATTAAAGGTCAAGTAACACGTACGAATTAGAGGAAAACTAATAACATCATATGGAGCATATAGAGGTAATTTAAGCAATTAGGAAACCCAACCATAACGGGATACTTTTCACATAATGAGCATAAGGACCTAAGAATCTTAAAGGGCAATTCTCCCACAGATAAGACCGAGCACACGCTCGTCACCTCGCGTGCACGGACTACAATTAGCATAGAGGACTCAAATCCTAAGGGGTAGTCCCCCACACAAGGTTAGGCAAGATACTTACCTTAATACGGCCAATTCAATACTTAATTTAGCTTTTCCTTTTTCCAGTTCATCAATGCTCGGCTCAATCTAGCCAAAAATGACTTGAATACATCTAACAATGCAAGAGAGAATAATTTCAATTAACAAAGCTATGATTCTTATACAATTTGCGAAAATTCAACAAAAGTCAACTCCCCAGGTCCGCACCTCGGAATCCAACAAAATTTACAAAAATCGAATACCCATTCCGATACGAGTTCACCCATACAAAAATTATCCAAATACCATTTGGTCCTTCAAATCATCATTTTACATTTTTTAAAGATTTCACAATTTTTCCCAAATTCTATCCCAAATCACGAACGAAATGATGAATTCAATGATAGATTCATGTACTCTAGCCAAATCTGAGTTAGAATCACTTACCCGATGAATTTCTTGAAAAACCTTCGAGAAAATCACCAAAATCCGAGCTCTCTAGGTCAAAATATTAAATAAAACCCAAAACCTCGTATTTATAGAGCCCCCCGGATTTCCACCACTGTGGACCGCACAAAAACAAGTGCTGTCCGCACAAAACCAGTGCGGTCCGCACCAAAACGACTGCTGTCCGCACAGGTTTTAACTGCAGAGACATGCTTTCGTATTTTGGTCATAACTTTTTCTACAGATGTCCAAATGCGTATTATAATATGTTTATGAAAACTAGATTCAAATATCTACAACTTTTATTTTTGAATCATCCCCAAATTCCTTGTAGATCAAAAGATATGAGCTTCCGAAATCGGACCAACGATCCTGCGGACCATTTTTGGTGTGCGGTCCGCACTCCCCTCTGTGGTATGCAAAATTTTGGTGCGGTCCGCACTCCCAAAAGTGTCAGAACCATCTCAGAGTTCCGAAACGTCCGGACTTGCTTAAAATTCACTCTGAAACTCATCCGAGACTCCGGGACATCAACCAAATGTACCAACACATCCCATAACATCATAAAAATTTAGTCGAGTCTTCGAATTACTCAAAACAATACTAAAACACCAAATCCACCTCGGGTTCAAGCCTAAGGATTTAGGAACTTTCAAATTCCACAAACAATGCTAAAATCTATCAAATCAAGTCCGATTGACCCTAAATTTTGCACACAAGTCATAAATGACATAATGGAGTTATTCCAACTTCTTGAGTCAGATTTTGATATGGATATCAAAAAGTTAACCCCTCGGTCAAACTCCCAAACTGTGACTTCTCGTTTTCGCCATTTCAAGCCTAATTAAACTACAAACTTCCAAATAATTTTCCAGGCATGCTCCTAAACCCAAAATCACCATACAGAGCTATTGGAAACATAAAAAATCCATTTCAGATTCGTTTACTCATATTTCACCTTCCGGTCAATTTAATTCAACTTAAACTCTCTTCTTGGAGACTAAGTGTCTCAATTCCTTTCAAAAACCTTTCCGAACCCGAACCAATTTCCCCGGCAAGTTACATAAGAACCGTGAAGCATGAATTTAGCAGTATATGGGGAGACGAGGTTGTACTTATTCAAAACGACCGGTCAGATCGTTACAGGGAATTTAAATAAAAACATTAATTCGAGCTACAAAGATATATAAAGTTATTCACAAATTTATGAGATAGCTGACATTTTGCTTTGTTGTCAGTATTTCATGGTTGCTACTAAACCTCTATATCATTGTAGTGTCATATATATTTAAGTCAACATTCTCTTTGTTGAGTTTGGTGTAATTTATATTTAAATGGTGTGTTATATGTTTTCATATTTTGAACTTGAGAAGATTTGTTATAATATTTTTGTTTTCAGACCTTCCGATCCGAAATTTGATTTTGACAGTAATGACATTTAACAAGTTGTGATAGCACAACACGTAATATTGAGTTCACATTTTGCTAATTCATCTTGCATTTTTTAACCTTCAATCTTTATATATACTTCATACACATGCTTAATTAATATTTATGTATTTGTTTTTAAAAATTTGTACTACAAGATATAATACGCACGTGCAACGCACGTACCCTAAACTGGTAAATCTATAATAATGTGCGTATGAAAGTATGTTACATATATTTTAGGAATATTTACCTCTTATAGCAAATATTGATACCTTATTTATTTTAAATAAATACCCTTTTAAAAAACTATATTCCATAACTACCTTTTAATTTTTATAGTCAAAATATCTATTTATGGTCATCTCCTACCCTTAAGCTATAAAATACGCTTTGTATTATTTTTTTCTCTTATTCTTTCAGATTTTTCTCCACCCTCTCTCTCTCTCAACGCCAGCTTATCAAAGACTAGGGTTTTGAGATTTTAGAGAATCTTACCAGTCCCTACCCGAGCATTTAGTTCCTCACGGACTGGGTTCTTGATCGAAGAAGTCCACATGCCACTCTTCACTATATTTGAAGACCTTTTAGCCAAAATCAATCTCTCCCCACAAGATATCAATGTTTTAATCGTTAATTGCAGTGGATTTTGCCCCGCTCCCTCGCTTTCTTCCATAATTGTTAACAAGTTTTCCATGAGAGAACAGTGACATTTCCATAATTCATCTCCATTGTCTCGCAAAATTTTCAAATTCTATTGTGCTTCCTAGATCTCTTTGGATTAGGTTCTTGATCGAAACGGGAACAGTGACATTTCGAGTCAGAATCGCGATCCTCTCAATGAGACGACATTAGGGTTGTTCTTGAACAAAGACGACGGAGTATGAGGCTGAGCAACTTGAAGATTTTGTTACATTTTTTTTAATTATATTTCAATGTATCTCGCCGTATTCTATATATTCCAATGTATTCATTGTCTTTTTTTTCATTGTATTTCAATGTATCTCGTTGTATTTCATTGTATTCACTGTCTCGCTATATTCCATGAATGTATTCATATGTTTTTTTTAATTATGTATTCAGATGTATATATGTATTTAAATGTATCTGCAGTATGCGTTCATATATTTTTACACTATAGATGCCGTGCTATCACTACAAGAAATCTGTCTTTTAGTGGCGACCAAAGTCACCACAAAATCATTAATTGTCGCCACTAAATGTTTACAGTAGTGACTATGGAACTGCTGCAAGTACTTCCATTACTGAATGTTACTAGTAGCGACAACATGAGGTCGCCACAGAATGTCTACATTTTGTGATGACCTTGTCGCTACAAAAACTAAATGTACTCGCCACAAGGAAGAGTTCCACCAGACTGATTTTATTTAAGTCGCTTCAAAGAGTAACATTTAGTGGCGACTTAGTCGCCACAAAAATAATTAGTCATCAGTGGCAACTCTAATAGCGCTACTGTAGAGTGATATTTAGTGGTGACTTAGTTGCCACAAAAATGGTTAGCCATCCGTGGCAACTCTAATACCGCTACTGATGAATGACATTTAGTGGCGACTTAGTTGCCACAAAAATAATTTTCCATTAGTGGCAACTCTAATAGCGCTACTGTAGAGCGACATTTAGTGGCGACTTAGTTTCCACAAAAATGATTAATCATTAGTGGCAACTCTAATAATGCTATTGAATAGTGATTTTTTGTGGCAACTCTATATCGCTACTGAATAGTGATTTTTTTGTGGCAACTGAAACTCGCCATTAATATTACTCTAGTAGCAACTGAATACTAGAGTTTACATTAATATATAAGTTTAAGATCATCCAATAATATTTAATAAACACCAAAAGAATTTCCTAAACCAAATACTAAACACTTCCATTACTAAAAGTTCAGTTACATATATACTATGCAATACTTCATTTTCATTGTACGCATATACATATAACCAAAATGCAAAATATTGAGTGCCTTAGCTTCAAGTTCCTCCGCATATACACTACGTAATACATCATTGTCATTGTACGCATATACATATAACCAAAAAGCAAAATATTGAGTGCCTTAGTCTTAAGTTCCTCCGCATATATACTTCGTAATACTTCATTGTCATTGTACGCATTTACAAATAACCAAGAAGCAAAACATTGAGTGCCTTAGCTTCAAGCTCCTCCTTCATTGTCACCACTGTTTAAGAACCTTGTCCCTATTGTTAAAGAAACAAATAGAAGATCACATTGTTAGATCTTGAAGATAACATCAACGTGAAAAAGATACATATAAGAACATTAACTTCAGAAGATTTCTAAAGTAGGATAGCTGAACTCTTCAAGGTTCTGGAACAATTTCAAGGAACTACTGCAAATGAAGACAGAATAGTTTGGAAGCATCACAGTAAAGGCATCAACACAGTAAGTTTATTTATATAGCCTTTAATGATACTGGACAACAGATCATTTGGCCTAAGAAGCATATGTGGAAAGTTAAATTCCATAAAAGGTAGCTGCTTTCTCTTGGTTGGTTGTTGAAGATGCATGTTTAACTCAAGATAATTTGAGGAATGCAACTGTGCTCAAATGCCATTTATGTGAACGAGCATTAATCATCTTTATACACTGTGAAGTCAGTGATCAACTATGTCAACTGTTTCTAAGTTTGAAAGGAATCAAATGCGTTATGCCGAAGTCTATGGAACCACATGGGAGGGACTATGAGGCAGAAGAGATGGTGGTGAACAATTCCTGATTAATGTTCACATATTGCTAAATACCATTTTGTGCACACATCATTCTGAAATCAAAATTGTATCAAGCAAGCAAATACAAGAAATCAAGGAGTTTTAGCTAGTTATTCGCCAGACTCAAAACTTTGACAGTACAAAGAACCAGTTGGGAAACCATGGAAACGAAGGAAAGCCCCCATTGTGTTGCAAAACACATTATCAAAGTATATATGGTAGAATCATTATCATGTCCTACAAAAGAAAATTTTCAAAACACTCTGAATCTTCTCACAAGAAAAAGCATCTTTAGATAAGCCTTCACAAACTATAAGCACAGCCAACTCAGAAAAGGGCTTACTACGAAAACTCAAATGGCCCGGAGGAATTGTGAATATCGTTCAAGAAATCGTAAGCTTATAAGGATATTTCAACATACAGCGTATCTGCACTTAGCTGCACCAAATTTATTCAGTCTAAGATCAGCAGAAACTGTGCCTACTTCTTGAAACAAGACAGACAGGATAGAAGCAAAAAAGAGCCACATGAATACATGCCTTTTGGTCTCAGATTAGAATAGCTCTCTTTTTGCTTGCTCTTTACAGACTTCTTAATCTACAACTATCCAACTATCCAAAATGCAAACAGATTGCATTGTTAAGCACTTATAAAGACCATAAGAACAGAAGATTGCAAATAAGTTCATGCTTAAAACTAAAAGTTCTCAAACTCAAGTAGAACAGGCGTCTATCCATGTTCAAACTGACGACTGTAGAAATTAAGCTGATAAATTTCTAACATAAATATCAATTGTATAGTGCTAGATACATATGTGTTGGTTGACATTTTATAGTGACCTAAATACGCTGAAATTGTATGAGGATTAAAGCAAAATTAGATTACTTGGAAACTAGAGATATAGTAGATAAATGTGATAATGTGAACAACTATCCAACTGTAGGAAAATTTCAGCTACAAAACTTAGCTAAAATATGAACTTCAAGAAAAAAGAAGAAGAATAGTCAAGAAGGAAGGAAGAGTACCGAAACATTAAGAGTAGATCACCTGTTGCATTCCAGTCATGATAGCAGCCGGTTGTTCTTGAATCCTCTTGGCTACTTCTACACTGATCCGGTTGTCTACTTCCGCATTCACGTGCTCAACCTGCTCTTCCAACTTCCTTTGCAACTCTTGTTCCATGTTACTTTTTAATTCGGCAACCATTTGTTCACGTTCTTCTTGCAACTTTCGACTCATCTCAGCTTGCATTTCTTGGCGCATAGTTGCCATAGCAGAAGACACACTAGCCTCTTCCTCTATAATAAATATCTTTTCGCCGTCGATTCCTCTGCTTCTGCAAAAGACCTTGTACCACAAGTATGCTTAGTTATCTGTTTTTCCCTGTTCTTTCTATTTCTCTCGCTTACAGCCTGCACTAAGTCAACAGATTATGAAACCATTATTCAAAGAGTAGTGAACCAAATACTATTATTAAGTTACCTTAAATTCAGAACTTCCAAAATACTCTACTAGGTATTTCCAATTCTTGAACTCAACATCTTCAGGTCGATGAGATAATATATTTCCATCAGCAATGTGGCGAGAGTAGTGACTGCTCAATCGAGCTTTCCATGCTCTAAAAAGCCTTTGCATAGTACTGATGACAAAGGCTTGCAACACATGCTCTCGCACACTGCCGAGAACTTCAAACTTATCCAGAACATATATAAATGTAACATTATATTGATTTTAACTACAATAATAAACCATGTAATTTGAAGCCAACACAATATTGAAAATAACTTGTTACCTTAACCTTTAACCACATTGTTACTCCATATTTTGAAGCCATCTTTTGCCAATTTCCATCCCGGAATGAGATAGTGCTCCTCATGATCAAACCACAGTAATTAACAATATCTCTTGCCCCAGCACCTACTGCTCTATCAATGTCATCTGGGGTCGTAATTGTGATTTTTCCGCCGTACTTAGCTTTAATATCTACAGTTTTAGATTTATATTTTCCTCTTCCTCTCTTTTTGTTCCTGGAAGAAACTGCAAAGGAAAAAAAATATACTGAGAAAGCATTGTATTGATACTTGTACCAGTCAGTTTATAACAACAACAACAACAAACAACAACCCAGTATAATCCCACTTAGTGGGGTCTGGGGAGGGTAGTGTGTACGCAGACCTTACCCCTACCCTAGGTAGAGAGACTGTTTCCAAATAGACCCCCGGCATCATTCCCGGGGGTCTATATATATATTTAAGAAATAATATATGTGGCCAATATATATATGTGTTGTAATTGTATCTATTTCCATGCCTGCAGATAAAGTGTCTAATTGGTGTGGTTATCCACTTCTCTTTTAGTTTAAGCTACTTGGCTTGTGTTTTATATGTGTATTTGCTACGTCTCACTTGGTTTTAATAGATATCACTTGGCTGAAGTAGAGTTCAATGAGGAATATCCCACTTTTCGTTTAAATTTTGTGTTTTATAAGTTTCCAAATAACTCAATGCAAATTATTAGCTGAAATTCTATTCTGTCAATTCACTGGCATTCACATACAGGAAACGCCTCAGCCTTGCAGCAAAACAAACCTTAATGGTGTTCAAGGTTCGTCATCTGTAATTAAGCTGCATAGAAGTCATCAGTCTAAGAAGGTTGTGGAAAAAAGGCAAATTGAGATTGTAGAGCTGTTGAACAACAACCATGAAAGGAGCAGAAGTAATTTAATGACTGAAAATGGAGCAGTTACAAGGTTAAATCCTGGTTTAATCCGTTTTTATCCGGTTCATGCAAATGTAAATGCTGATGTTGGAGTATGCAGAGGCTATATCCCTCACTTATGTAATAGTAAAGTGAACAGCACTGAGATGACTCAGGTTCAGGAGCCACAGTTCAAACTGTTCGGCAATTTAAAACAAAGTCAGCAGAAACCATCAAATGGAGGTAGTTACACTAAAGGGAAAAATAAAAAACTAACCTGCACTACCACTTTCAGCTTCTGGAGAAGGATACACACTTCTGTCCAGATTTCTTGATGATACTGTCTCTACAGAAGGTCTCTGCAAAGGATTGTTTGATATTTGTCCACTCTCTATAGGTTCTTGACAAGGATTATTTGATTCCCTGTTCTCTAGGGATGCTCTAGTATTTACCCTTAGCTTGCAATTGTGGATGAGACGTCACTCCAGAATTGCCACGTCCTTGAAAATGGCCACGTCCACGGCCAGTTCCACCTTGACCTTTGCATCATCCAATTCCTGTCATGTTGAACCTCCTGCATGATATAGAAAAAATTAGTAAGAACAAAGGCACAATTAGGGGTAAGATCTTATCATTATACAAGAAAAATTAAAATTAAGCTTAGTGAACGTAGAAGGCAGGTAAGAGAGAAGAGAGTCCACTGTGTCTGTAGCAGAATCAAACGACATAAAGGAATTAACACTTTCTCTTTTTCTTCTCAAATCATTGCTTGAACTTATCACTACGAAACAACCCAAGTATAATGCAGCTACAAGCTCAAACAACATCAGAATACTTCCACTATGAACTATTAAGTCATCATTTTATCTAGGCATTAGAACATATAATTAAGCATCAGCACAACACAAATGTGTCTATCTGATTCATGTACCAACACTTGTTTGGTTAGAACTGCTAGTGATAAGATCTCTTTATGCGCCTTTTCATTCTGTTATGGCAGTTAGAAACACTTCTTCTACAAAGGGACAAATACATGAGCTACAACAGACCTTTAAGCACAACGACCTGCCTATTGTCAACTTAATGGGGAGAAATTTGTTGTGAACTTACTGACAAAGATGAGGTTCATCTATTAAGTATGTTCGAAATTTAAAAATTTGGAAACCGCACACCGACCGAATAAATGATTAAACCGAAAACCGAACAACCGAAAACAATATCAAGAAAAATGAAGACTCATAACACCTAACATCACATTTCACGGTTTTGAGTGAAATACCAAACATGCATCAAAAGGTCTAAAATTTCAGATTCAAGTTTTCAACTTACCAGCGAAAGAGCAGTCGACACTGAGAAAGAGCTTTAGGCGATGGCTATTCAAGAAAAATTACTTCTGATTCCTGCATATTTTCAAATGGGTCAGAGAAATTAAAGGTGAAATTGAAGAAATATTCATTCTCGCTAGATGCATGTACCTAAAAACATAATTGTAAAAGCTGTTTTTGCGTTTGGAGATTCAATTGTGGATCAAAAATCAAATCAAAATCAAATTAATCATACTTAAAAATCAAAATCAAAATCAAAATTAGGGATTTGCTAGTACCCCAATTATCTCGAATTATCTCGATAATCTAAGCATAAACCTAAAAGCAAATCGAAAGCTACAACCTTAACAAGCACAGTAAAGAAGAACCCATAATTATTTTTAGGATTTGTAGATTAAGATTTAAAGACCAAAACCCAAAAATCAGAAACAAAAGAAAATTAAGTAAAAAACTTATTTAATTTGAGAATATAAGTAAAGACTGATAAAGTATCTACCTTAAAGTTTTGTATTGCAAATGTCGGCAACCACTTCAACGTTTTGCAGAAATCACTTGGCATGTCCCCTCTTCTTTTTAAGGTTTAGTTGTGTTTAAGGTGAAAATGGTAATAACAATTAAATTTGTTAATGAGACTCTAAAAATATGTGATCTATTTTTATGCTAGTTGTTTAAGCAGTTGATGCTAGATATGTGAAGATAACAGATGAAATGCGAGCTAAAATAGAGTTATAATAAAACCAAGAGGTTAGCTATTTGGGCCTCGGACTAACCGATGAGGGGCCTCGAGGTCAATGCCTGAGTTCGGGCTCGAGCAATCGGGGGTAATCGGGGAAAGGCTAACAGTTAGGATATAATCAAAGGAGGCTTTATATGGCCAATGACAAGCAATAAATGAAGAACAAATATGAGAATAATAAGCAATAGAGTCGGGAAAATATGTTATAGAGAAAAGAGAGAGAGTTGTTATATTTCGTGTAGAATAGTTGGAACAACAGCTGCCCATTACAAAGTGATGAGGATCCCCTTTATATAGGAGGAAAAATTCAATATAGTACAAAAATGCATTAATTGTAAAGGTATGGAGATGGGACGGCTTGATGCGACACCTTGATACAGGCTCCGAGCAGACTGCTTTGTCAGACTTAGCAGCATGCCTAGGGAATCCCCTATTTTACTCTAGCCTCAATCAATATTCTCTTTGGGTCGGACCTTGATGAGCTTCGAAGGAGGGAACTCGGTCACAGTTTCGCGTCCTCAAGGCCTCGAGGTGTTTTTCCGAAGTGACTTAAGAGCAAGAAATTGGACCCTCTAATTTCGCCGCATACAGATAGTCTCCGCATTTCTTAGAACGAAGTGATGGGAAACGATTCTGATACCCGACTCCCCGGGCTTCCCGTGACGACGTCATGCCGATGACGCAACCTATGGCGTGAGTTTTCACGATAACCGGGACATCCCATGGACTTGTCTTTTCAACGCCATTCAATGCGCTGTCGATTCCCGTTCTCCAAAGTGACAGTACCGCCGTCGATTCGGTTCTTCAAAAATGCATTAATTGTACCTGCCGGTCAGTTTTCCAAAGGCATTAATGGCCGTGTCATTGTCCTCTATAAATGGGGGTATTGTGGCATTATCTCTCTACCCAAGTGCCTTCCTCCATTTATTCATCCCTTTCTTCTCGCCATCTTTCTCTATTGTTGATCACCATGTTTGGAGTTCACGGCCTCAAGGTTGTTTGACAGCATTCTTATCGATTATACGGTGGCCTTTTGCCTAAGCTCCCCTTTGTCAAGTGGGATTATACCGTTCTGTCGCTGTTGTTGTTGTTGTTACGTCTGCTATTGCTGACCTTATTGGCTCGAGACGATGATATACGAGGATTGACTTTCCTCACTTTAGAAAATTATTCGGACTATATACCGCTGCTAACAAGGGGGCTCAGATTATATACCGCTGCTCACCTTCATACCTCGGTTCGACTTGGTGCTTTGTCCCGGGCTGGCAGCTTGCACGGCTCAATGTCCCAAGAAGTGGATTCAAAGTAGCCGTGCAAGCGAGGCCGACGTTCGCCGGGTCTGTTGTTTCTCCGAGGTTCTCTTGGCTAGTGAGGGTCCTCAACCTTTAGCGGGCTATGGCATTTTTTAATCCCTCCCTGCTTCTCGACTTATCCTTTGAGGATATTAGTATGTAAGGCCGAGATAAGGCTTCTGAGGATGCATGCCCGAAGAGAGGATGTCCGGAGGCATTGTTGCAGTAGGTGGACCTTCGATAGTAGACTAGGCTCTAGGCTTTTACCATGTGTGTGCGCCCTTTGTTTCTTTGTTTCTGCATAAGGACCCTTTGCAGACTTTTGTAATCATATGTAAGGACCCATCGAGGGCCATTGTAAGCAAATGTTTATGAATATAAAGATGTTTTCTTGACTTTTGCCTTTGATACTTGCCATATTCTTGTATATTCTTGTGCGCTTGCTGGGATTCTGAACGTGTGCCCCTGTCGAGGATCGTCAATATCTAACTCGGGTGCGATCATTCTTTCCGGTCTTTGGTTGATAGAAATGGCTCTTTTTCGAGCCCATCGTTGTTCCCCAGATCAATCCTGAAGCGGTCTGATAGATTCGGGTCATCGGGACCCTCGAGTCTCGTGGAGATAGAGCATCAAACCTCGAAATTTTGAGAGCAGCCTCTGAGTGAAGGTCAGCTTCAGGCACTTGGAGATTTACTTTGAACTTGATGTCGATAACCTTTTAGGGTGTTGTAGGTAGGTCCCTGAGGAGGGGTTACCCATATTTAGGCGATTTCCTGATGTCAAGCCCTCATGGATGGAGCCCGAAGTGCTTAATTTTCTCCTTGAGAGAAAAACTCGAGGTCGGGTACCACCTCGGAACCCGTATCGAATCCGTCGGCCTCTTGGGGCCTAACTTGGGTAGGCGGACTATTGTTGTTTCCCCACATATATGTGGGATTTCTACCTCTTCTTGGGAGATCCCATTATCTTAGATAGTTATCCTTCCGTTTTGGCATCGAGTCCTTCGTTACCTTAGCACCAAAGCGTTCGTGTAGGTTCCTGCTTCAGTTTGCTAGTTCCACTATAGCCATGACTGCTACTTCAGGGTCTGCCCGGAAGAGAGGGGAGAGTTCCACTCCCAGTGCTCAGGATCCACGGGAGTTTACTTTGAAGACTATGTCTTCGATAAGAGAGGAGCACCTAAAGCTAGTGAGGAAAGACTGCAGATGGGGCGACGGGGTAGCGTTGAAGGCGCTTCCCCCGAATGAGGGTATCACGGACCTTGCCGATGGATTTCTAAATGTGTACTTGTACCCTTTCGCATTAGGCCTCCTTGATAGGGTCGTGCTTGATTTCTGTTTAAAGTATCGGGTTACTTTGGCGCAGATATATCCGTCGTTTTGGTGAATAGTGCTGATGATGAGGTTCTTTGCGGAGAAGGCAGGGCTTGAATTCACACCCGGTCACCTTGTCAGGTTGTACCGGCCCTTTCATCATCGAGGTCTGCTAACCTTGCGGTGTCGTTCGTCCACACCCTTTATTGTTGATGATGAGGAAGATGGAGATCGAGAGTGGGCTAGTCGATTCGTCTAGGTCCGGATGACTGACGTTATCCCTGTGGAACTTATGTCATTCTCTGAGGAATGGAATTATACGCATGAGTGAAGCACCTCATGTTTTCTCATACTTGCTCATGGCGGAAACTTAGTTTAGTAATCGTGTTTCCTTCTTTTCTGCAGTAATTTCATGGGCGCCGGGCGAAGTCCCTGATCTGCCTGGTTGGGTCCAGAAGCTGGTGACCCTTCAACTTGTGATGAGCGTAGGTGCCGAGCCGTATCCCGGGGCACATGGGAGGCAAAATATCATGGTATGTATGTACACTGCTTTTATCTTGTCCCTTCGTACATTTGGGAGGGCTTTTTCTCCTTTTCATATATTAATCTTATCGTCGTAGGTATCGGAGGGTTTCCAAGGGAGAGGTTGTGCTCCTCCGGAGAAGGGGAGAGGTTGCCAGCTTTCGAGCTAAAGGATGACGATTACAGACGGGATATGCATTTGCAGTGTGATAATGCATATAGCAGGGCAAAATAGGGCCGAGTCTTTGAGGAGAAAACATCATCCGAGCCTGTTGTACCCGAAGTATCCGGTCCCGAAGAGGAGGTTCCTCCGAGCGATCATTCTTCGATCGGGATTGATTCTTCCAGGGCAGAGGGGACCAGATTAATAGAGGTGTGCTCGGCCTGCGAGGAAGTATGCCGACTTCACTTCACGGTGAGCTTTGGCATATGCCTTCCGAATCTCGCATCTTCCCTTCCTTATCGAGTTTTCCTTTTGTAGGCTTTTGGCAGGCTTAGGTCTGAACTGCTCCGTCATGGGACTAGGCTCCGGAAAGCTCTGGATGAGGGTAAATCCCTTGGGCTCCTTTGCGAGGAGAAGGAAGTTGAGTTGGCACACTAGCAATTTGAGGCGTACCGGAGCTCGAATTACGAGAGATATTTGATGGAGCAGGTAACTTTTCGTACCAAGCGGGTATGCATTTTGCTTCTTAGCCTCTCAGGTTAACTCTTCGCCTATCCCTAGCTACAGAAAAAGATAGAGGCCTTGGAACGCCTCAGGGATGAAGCCGACTGAATCAGGAATGACTACGTTGAGCTAAGAGCCCAGCCGCAAGTTCAAGCTTTAGATGAGAAGGGTACCTTGGCTAAAGTTCCTGCCTTCGAGGTCCAACTCTGCTTAGCTCGTGATAACGCTTCAGTCCAAGCGGATATGATCATGAAGCTCAAATCTGAACTTTCGAAGGTTAGGGATGAGATCGTTAATGCTCAGACCGAAGTTGTACTGAGTCGGGCTAGGGCTAATTAGAAGATGGCAATTTATTTGAAGGATGATACCGATGCCCAAGCCAAGTTGAAGAGGGTCCTCGACCGTGAAGAGAGGATCAAAGAATATGCTCGTTGCAGATCCCGAAGAAAGGTTCTCGAGGAGATTGGTGTAAGGGGTTTTATTCTCCCAAAAGAGTTGGCGTGAGCGAGGGAGGACGAACGTGATGCTCGGTCACTTCTATCCGATACCGAGGAGAGTGAAGATGAGGCTGGTAGGTTGTATCCCTCAGGGGTAGGGTATAGACTTTGCCATCTTGTATGTGATATTTTCAGAGCGCGTTTGTAGATGGAGAGTGCGCTTTTTCATGTATGTAAATAAAAGAAAACTTGAAGCTTTATTTCTTATGTACCCCTTTCTGCCTCGCTTCTGACTAGGTGGACTAGTTTCAGAGTTGGTGAGAATCCTTAGATTCGTGATATGGCTCTGGAGCTTATTATGCAGGACCGGGGGCTCTTACGCGCTCGGTCAATGCGGCCTTTAGTGTAAGATGGTGTTAGAGCTCTTATGCTTTTGCTCAAATATCTCGGGTTCAGTCTCCGAGTCAGGCTTTGACTCGAGTTCATTAGACCCTCATC